CTCTGTCTCCATATAATTACACTATGGCTGACAGACATAGTCCTTTAAAATTACAAAACAAAGACAGGCTGGAAAATAAACAGCGCCTCGATCACTCATTCGAAGCGTGAGCATGCCCTATTAATGTGGGAGATTTTGATGGTGCTAATGTCAATCATTTTGTTTCGGTTTTTATTTTCTCATGTGGGTGCATTGAGACAACTGCAAGTACAGTATCACAGAAACTGTTATAGCCTCGTATTTTGCAGTCAAATGTTCAGTTGCTTTCGGCTAATTGTACTCTTTGGGTGATTTCATGCATGCTTTTAATTGCGCTTATAAAACTCACACTGAAGTCACACGCTTTGAAAAAGGATCAAGTGTTTCACTCTTTCCGTTGGCTGGGGAATCCCTTGAATTTGCACATTTCAACGAAATATCAATCAAAGCTGTGACTTGACAGTAGAGAAGATCGAAATACTTTCTAGCATTGAAATGATGCGAAACATAAGAAAGAACCATCGGAACACCTCCAATGCTTGTGCTTCACCAAGTACATTGTTACAGTTGTCGCATTTTCCAGAGGCTATTTCATGAGGCGTTTTCAATGTGTATACTTTTATTGAATACATTTTTTGGAAATAAAAACTTGGTCTTAATTTTTTGCCATTGTTGCAATGATGTCGATGTTGTTGGAAGGCATAAGTCATGCAACTTTTACAGTGGATAATTTTCAACATGATAGAATACATCAACAGAGTTTTTTTTTAACATCATAAATTTGTGTCTCTTCATATTTTTTTTCAAAATTGAAAATCATCCAATGTGAACTCAATTTGTCAATGAACACAGAGAAAAGTTGTCTTTTCAGTAAATGGTTGTGAAAACTGACTGCTGGTCTCAAACTCCTGACAGCACACTGGACAGAAGCTCCAACATCCAAATGTAGTTACAGTATTTTTATTATGAGTACTGCCTTGTTTTTCATTGCATATATTATGGGAACAACATTTGAGTAATTCAAGTAGCCACAGTAAACTTGTAATCTCACACATCACGGTTGTCAAGAGATTTATTTCAGTGTGCAGTAGTCTGAATTTCTGACTGTCATGTGATGTTATTGGAGGCTCTCTACGTCGCTTTGCTAAATGTGTTGCTAATAACCTATTTACAATGTTGCGTGGTGTGTAACCAAAGCATTTTTCTACCACATCAGGGCTTCACTAAACGCCACAATACACGGTCATGCACTTTAGGAATGATATTTAAAATTGCGATGTATAATTAGATCAACATATTGCAAGCATGTAAATACTCAGCATGCATCTTGCAGGCCTGTAAATCGAAAATGCCTTTGATCCTCCATCTTGCATTCATTACCACAGTGACAACAACATCATAGTCTGGACAGGAAAAAATGAGTTCTTGTCAAGCTGGATCTGAACGATGTACCAATGGACTGTTTTCATCCTCGGACAGATGGAAATAAAAACAAAACGGCAACATGTGATGATGCTTTTTGTTTTCCATGACATCAATAAAGGAAATGAACAAAGGCATGACCTATGATGGTGACAAAGAAGAAAGAAGGCATTTTATATTTAAGGCAATGAGGCAAAAAGAAAAGTCAACACAAAGGAGACATACTGTTAGGTGAAACACGGAATGCTTTGTACAACCCCTCTGAATCCTTCCATTGTGTCCTAACCACTAATTGTAACCCTTGAGAAGACACTTGCCTGAAATATGCTTTGGAATGTTTTGGAAGAGGGTTTATATTTGGTTCTTCAGGGCGTTTACGAAAGCTGTTATTACAGTATATACTATAAGATGTAATACATGAATTGGAGTTTAAAATGGCCCCCATCATCTAGTTTTTTTAACGTCAAGGTTCAATCTCAGTGTAATGTGAGTCTGTTTTTCCGACGGAGGGCTGTGACTGACTTGTGGATCCTTCCTCACGCTTCAACTAAAAGTTAATCACAGGTTTGAGCAAGAAGCCTGCCGAGTGTCTCCAGCATGTTTTCTTTTTTACAGCTTTCCATTGCTTGCATCGCTTTTTTCTTTCTTGCTCTTACCTAAATGTATTGTAAATAACCGTGTTGTTGAAAGACTCTAAACAGGATGTCGTAAACGGCAACTCTCCCCCGCTAAAGTCAATTTAGGCCCCAGTGCCCTACTGCGGTTTGTTGTGTAATCGCTCAGTTATGTCCTTTATTTTCTTACCGCTGGCACCCTGACGCCGTTTTCTGCTTTCTGTTGCTGCTGCTTCCATTTGATGCCACGGAAATAGTTTTGACTTCATTGTGATTCATACATATGTAATGGCATTTTAAAAGGTTTCGAAACTTGTCTCTGGAATCTGTATTGCGTGATCTGTTGATGTCTAACAATGCCGTGTGCGTTCGGGGTAAGAGTCGTCACATGCAGAAGTGGACTATCTTTTTAAAGCATGTAAAGGACTGTGAAAACACAGCAACTACATGTTGTAAATACAAAATAATTCAGTGATAAACATTCAGTGTTATTTTGTTGTTGAGTTCAATCCAGGCATTTTGGGCCCTTGCCTCATTCCCAGTGCAAGTCTAGCACTAAGCTCAGCCTAACTGTACGCGTGGGTGGAGTTTTCGTTCTTTTGGTATTTTGCTCCACTTTGCACACGTTGAATTGGGCGAAACAGGGCATTTGTGCCGTGCATGACATTGGCGGATAAACTGAAAGATCTCCCCTTGCGGATGATGGAGGCGCATGTTAAGTGAGCAATTGGAGAGCGCCTCAAACCGTGCGTCTGTGTGCTTTGGTTGAGAGGGTGGATATTATAACCCCACCACACACACACAAATCCACAGGCACGCACACACAAATATGCACACACATATCCGCACACACACACATTTCTAATTCATGTTTCATTGTCTGAATTAACTGGCACATTTTATGCATGTCAGGTGAATAACATAGCTTAATGTTGAGCACTTGCCCAGTCCGTGCAAACATAATTCTAACCTTGTGCTGCCACAGACAATTATTTTGCTGGTTGACTCATCAAAAATAGCAATTGCAATTAGTCGAGTACTCAGATCATATGTAAATCGCAGCGTCTCGCTCCAGCAAGCAACTGCTCTTCTATACAGTAACCATCATCAGCTTGCTGCCTGAATATTTGAAGCTTTATTTCAAATTACTAATAAAGAAGCATTACTGAAATGTTTCTTAAATGATGGTACAACTTAAATTGTTGGCGATACTGTGGCGTCAACATTTTTAGCTGTAAATATTTAATATATTTCTAAATGGAACCAAAAAGTACTGAGTGCACTATGCACACTTAATGCTATTGTCTATCATGACAAAAATAAATATTTGTAAACATATTTCACTCTTCTCAAGTATCAAGCAATTTTTTAAAATATATAAATGTAGAAGACAGTTAAGTCAAAAGAGTAAAAAAGGACTGTGCTACAGAAAACTGAACTGGGACTAGCAGCTGTCACCCCTTGCCACCCTGTAAAACATCTTCGGGGTATTGTTCAACAGTATTGAGCATGTGTGCAATAGTGGCTTCACAGAAAAAGATCAAAAGATTCAAATATCTTTGAGCCTGATTTACTAAGATCCCAAATAGTAAGCATAAAATAATGTATTTGCTCTAACACAGTGATTCTCAAAGTGTAGTGCCACAAGTTGTATGCAGACTCCCTCTCATGGCATATGAATGATTCACTGGCCAATTACAGTTCAGTTGTATTTAACTTTTAAGTTCAATACGTTTGTGTTTTATCTTCAAGATTGTTTTGAGGCTTTTATTTTGGTAATCTTTTATGTGTGATGCATTTGAATAAAATCATTACTCAGGTTAAGTTTCATTGTAAAATTCAGATAGAATTTCAATTTTATCCCAGTACATTTATATTTGTCTCATCTATTTTTACTTAATGCTCATACATTACAAATATTTATTTTTTTTACATTTTTTTGTTGTCTCACAATTTATTTATTTTTTTGTAGTATGTCATTTTTAATTGGATTTTTTGTTTTTCGTCTCATAATATTTTTATTTGATTCCTATTAACCTTGGGTTATTGTTTTCCCCATAAATACAACTTTGTGATATACAGTACATTTTGTTGCTGATCATAAAATGACTTTAAGTGTAGTTTTAATGTTTTAGTGTAAAATTGTGACTTTGGAAAATTATGTTTTTTTTCCTTGAAATCCGACAGCTTGAATAAAAAGTTCTGGGCACCCCTGCTCAAACAGATTACATTCATGTGGCATGTTGTGCATGTTGTGGGTGTTCAGTGGCATGTTCAGGCTAACAGAGGGCACTCACTGTTGGCAACAAGTGTAGAAGTAGTCCACCTTATCAAAATAAAGGTTTTGCACTTGAAGTAGCTCTGATGTTTTTTTACAATAGAAAATTTGGGAGTGCACCACAAGCGCAAATTGAAGTCTGAATTGATGGAATTGAAAGTGTAAGTGGAATAAGCAAGCAAACAACAATACTACAGTGGACAGCTTAAAAATTAAGTGGCCTCGTTCTCAGTCCGCACAAATTTTTTGCCCTTTTCGGATCCCATCCATGTTGCTATCGACACTTTTTCCATTGATAAAACCCAATTGTACCAGGTACTATTTCTTGTACTGGTAGCGTTTCTGATTACCTGGTGATCTGGGGTTTCAAGCATGCCAAGCCAATACCTCACCAGCATGACATAAACTACAACTTCATTATTTAACAAAACCTTTGTGCATTCATGGTGAGAAAAACAAAAATAAACTCCTATGCTAATACTAGCGCGCCTTGTTACTGTGACTTACCGTCTCAACCGTCTCCACTTCCCCAAGGGATATGTCAACGGGATTGACTGGTGACCAGTCCAGGGTGTACCTGCAAGTCACACAAACCCTAGTAAAGAGTATCAAGAGCAAAGAGTATTTTGGAAATGCTGTATGCCAATAAACTGTCCTTTCGTGCTAATGATTCATCAAACAGTTTCAGAAGAGGAAACCACTTCATATTTAATTGAATACAAATGCTTTATTGACATGTGTAAGGCATATTTTGAAATGGTGAAATTATGAAAACATAAAGTGGATATCTTTACATTTGCAAAATGACACTGAGAAACTCTGTAATGCATATAGAAAGAATGAAAAGTGCATATTCTTGTTCCTTTTTGTTTTGTCCATAAACACATGACACTACACATAAATAGTTGCATTGTAAAATGACGAAATGAAGTATTTACATGGTAATATATTTTATAAAATATATAAGCTTTATATTAAATCTCGGAGGATTACAATTTGGATCCAGGCTGGGTGCTATCTGTGGGTGTTAAGTAGCACCTCTAGCCAGCACGGGCAGGAAGTGATGAACTGTCTCGAGTAGCAGGGGCCCCATCCTTTAGCAAAACTCATACGAACACTGTGGGGGTCCCAGGGCCCCTCCTGGCTTTCAGGCTTCAGGCCTTTCTCAGCCATCCAGTTGGAGCACTCATAGTCAAACATTTTGAGGGAGAAGCCCGGCATCACCCTCTTCACGCTCATCCCTCGAGCGCTGAGAAGGTCCAGAGTGGGCGAGTGGACGAACACCGGGTGCTGGCTGCGGTTGTACACCCACACGCCGTCGGGCTCACGGCTCAGCACAATGCCGTGGCCAATTTTACTGCGGATCTGTTGGATGCTGCTGCTGTTCCTTCCATGAGTGGGGTAGGCTGGAAGTATAGCTGTGCCATGGCTGCCTCGGTTCTCACGGCGACTGTGGTTGGCGTTGGTGTGGAGCTGGCTGAGGCAGAGGCCCGTGCCCTGAGGTAGGTCATAGAAGATGTTGAGCGAGGCTTCGTAGGCTGGGTAAAGGCGACCCACACGTGTGCGCTGCTCCCAGTAGGCAACGCTGCACCAGTGAGAAGGATGCTCGCTGGAGGTCGAGGAGCCCAGGGAGCCCAGGGAGGTACCGGTCTCTAAAGGTGAGAAAAGAAGAGGGCATGATTTATATTTCTCGTATACAACTGTCAATGCCAACACTGGGTTCTCTCAGAAAATTGACACCATAATTCACGGTGGCAGTGGCTGACAGGGTCAGGATCCAAGTCACTTTTGAATTGGAGATACAGGAAGTGTGGTTGTCCACAAGGGTCAATAAGGTTAGAAGGGCCCAGGGAGAGGCAGAAAGATATATAACCACTAGAGGGAGCCTTGGCTGGTTGACTACATCCAACCTGAGCCGCCATCTTGAACCGGGAGTCCCCGGCCATCTCTTCCATTCACTTGTACTGAGGTTAACTGTGTATGGCACCAATTAATTAATCATAAATTGGCGGATTCTTTTCCGATTTTGACACAGATTGGTTTATTAGAACCTTTAGACATGCAGTGATACCAGACAGGTGGACAATTTAAAGTCAAGCACCTCTGCCATATGAAAACAGCATTGCATTGAGTGGCTGACCCTTGCACACCGACACGGATTAAAGGTCTCGGCTGTTAGTTGTGTTGTCCATGAGATAATTGTCACTTCTTTTCTGCAGTGGGAGCAGGTCTGACAGACACTAGATGACACTGCAACCGTCAGTTTACAATGTTGTCAGTGGTCATGTGCACATTTCTGAAAATCTGACTGCATCACATTTCAAAACCAAAAGCAATACAATCACAAAGTGGCAGCACTCAACAAAAGATGGTGAAAGCAGTTTGCCATTTGAAATTGGATATTACATCAAGCATTTATTTTGTTATTATATGCCATACTGTGATATGTTGCACTCTGGTATTTATATTAGGGTAATGCTTTTTTATTATAGGATTTGCAAAGCATTGGATATTAGAGCCTAAAACATGATATTTTAGATGTAATATATTTCATATTAATATTAGATGCATGTGGGTCTCATCCATCTAACTGGTGTCTCTTTTACCAACTTACTAGCTCCATAAAAATTTTTGGAAGAAACATTTTCAAAGCGTGCCATTTTTTTTTTGTATTGAAGCCACATGTCTGATGTTGTCAACAAAACAAACCACATGAAAATCGCTATAAAATTCAGCGGGTTATGATTTTGTAATTTTTTTTTTATGCGTGCCCTTGCCCATAGTCTCAAGAGAAATAAATGAAGTGGAGGGGCAGGGCCGTTGCGGGATTCTTCTTTTAAGATGGCACCCACTCTGTACGACGCAGCAATTCTGTCTCCAAGTCCAGGCGACATCTCGTGTTATATAAGTCGTTATATAAGTCTATGGGGAGAGGCAGAGGTCTACTGCTTAGGGCAGAGATTCACCATCAGTGTACAGTGGGAAGTGATCCAACTTCACTTAAATGGTCTGAAATGATTTCATTTCTGCAAATAATGTATCTTTGTTCAACTATCTTTGCCAGTGACATACAGTGACAACCATTTCACTATTTCTTCCTGGGGGCTCTCAGCCAATGAAGATTCTTCACAAAATCAAACTCAAAATGAGTGCAAACCTCCACCTAACTACAAAACATGTATCTAGTTTTTGTGCCATCTTAGTTTGTTGGTGCCCCTTAAGATTTTGTTTTCAACGGTAAAATACAGTACATGCCTTGGCTCAACAAGTTTTGCGAAACACAAGTTAAGATGTCTCAAGTCCACCCTACAGTAGGAGCTGGTAACTCACATTATGCTTTTACACTCCCTCCGAGGCTGAGAGGCCCCTGATCAATGCATTTAACTGTAAAAGCTGCTTACTCCTCCTCTTGAGCCCCGAAGGACGTTTATTTCATTGTTCGCTGTAATTGGTTGAGTACAGAAAAAATGCTCATGCATACAGAAACTAGGCAGGACATGTTCACAGTATTTCTCAATACAAGAATCTAATTTATGCTTTTCTGCACTGATAAATATACTCTAGCGGCCCGATGATCGAGTGGTTAGCGCGTCGGCCTCACAGTGCAAAGGTGCAGGGTTCGATTCTGGCTCTGACCTTCCTGTTTGGAGTTTGCATGTTCTCCGCGTGCATGCGTGGGTTTTCTCCGGGTATTCCAGTTTCCTCCCACATTTCAAAAACATGCATGGCAAGTTGATGCAACACTCTCAATCGTGCCATGGTGTGATTGTGAGCGTGATTGGTTGTCCGCCTGTGTGTGCCCTGCGATTGTTCAGGGTGTCCCATGCCTTCTGCCCGAAGACCGCTGGGATAGGCTCCAGCATGCCCCGTGACCCTTGTGAAGATAAGCGGATCAGAAAATGGATGGATGGATAAATATACTGTATAACTACAGCCGATAATGGAGAAATGGCATTTTGTGAGGTTGAAACATTTCAAACAGAGGGCCCATCTACAAGTCTTTCCACTATTCTCAATCCCCCCTCATTTGTAATAATAATGATGACTGGAAATAGCTTCCTCTGTCTCCATGAGAGGAAGGAAACATGCTCAAGGGCTGTTTTGAGACACTGTGCTTCAGGGGTCTTCTTAATTATTCACTTTAAAGCTTGTTCAGGAATGTATGGATTATCTTGATCTATGTCCAGACAGGATCTGATGTTACATTCTCGGAAAATGTGTTTCAAAAGTACGAGACAAGGCGACAAATAATCAGATGATCTACTTTTATCTCCCAGTAAGCATTTTTACAATGTTTAGTGATGTACTCATCACCATATCACTAACATTGGTAACCGTCGATGGTACTGTATATCGAGTCTACATTTTATTGGTTTGAAGTTAGACTATAAACAACTGTTACATACTAGTGTTATGTTTGCACTTTCTGTTACAGGTTGCTCCATTACCACCGCACCACTCTACTGAAGTCCGTCCGAAAGAGAGGAGCCCCGTACTCGATTTCACTTATTTCTAATAGACAATTAAAAGGCTATTCGGTATATGCCTGGTGGCCAGCTATTCTTTTTATTTGCCACCTTGGTGTCCATTAAAAGAAGGGTGTCAACAGTCCACTTCCTCCAGCGATATCCTCCGACTTCTCATCACTCCTTCAAATGCTAAATTCGAGTTGAAGGTGCAGGGTAGCAAAGACGAGCGGGGTGGGAAGCATTCAGCTCTCTGTCAACCTTGTGCAAGCCTGTGAACCCTGGACCCCCGCCCCCCTCCCCAAGCCCTCATGCTATCAGCTCACATTAACTCCCTCACAGAGTGATGCCATTATTTTTCTCCAGAGACTCTACTGACACAGAGGATTTAAAGACCCGTGAGCCCATGGCCCCATTCCTGTCATATTCCACCGGAACGGCCCCCTTTTCCACCACCAGAAAGGCTACCCCGCTTTTTAAATTAAAAGATGCATTTGGGTGAAACTGGTATCGTGATTAGGTGCGCTATGTATGCAGCGGCCATGTTAATTTGGGGTTAATGAGTCGATAATGTCGCAGGGAGGAGGAGGAGGCCAATGAAGGATGAGATTTAAGTGTGTTTGTGTAAAATAAGCTCAAGATACGAGCGCACACTACGTGATGAGATAGCACCTTGCATATGCATGCGAAAATTGGGCTTAGTGGTTCCAAACAAACTATGATCACGTACACATACACACTCTCGCATACACAAACACATGCACACAAAATTACACATCTCATTTGAGCCCCACGTGTGTCATTAGTGAATTCCAGGCTGGCAACTCCTGCAGTCTGGAGTTTTTACAGCTCTCCAATCGCACACACACACACACACACACACACACACACACACACACACACACACACACACACACACACACACACACAAGCACACACGCACACCTGTCATAAGTTAATACAAAAATGTAGGCGGAAACACAGCTAAACTTTATGAGTTCACAATATATTTTTTTTCCCCAAAGTCGGCATGAAACAAACGCAGTACACTGTGTGAGGAAGGCTCAGCTTCTTCACAGTTCAAGTGACTCAACAAATAGACAGGAAGAAGACACGGAAGAAGTCTCAAGAACCAGAAGCTCTCAAGACATTTCTTTCGTTAGCAAGCCACAGGTTAGGTCAGGTCAAGTCCAGTTCTTTGTCAAAGTGCATTCTCAAGATGGGAGGGAGACCAGGGCTTTTTGTCACATGGCTACGTTGTCACATTGCAATTATCTTCTCCACCAGAGGTCACATTTAAAAAGTGGAATGCTACTTTTCTTCCTTTCTAGGGTCAGGGGTCGTGACTGAGAAGAGAATGGCACATTGTGAGCTGAGATGGGTGCCAATTAAACCTTTTGCACAACCCAAAATAAAAACTCTTAATTTTATTTGTTTTGGAACAATCCAGATACAAATCCTCGCAACATAAGGGACTTGCAGAGCTCATCTGTGCGTGCATAAGAATTTAAAAAAAAAATGCCTTCCAAACAATCAAGGGGTCAATGCAATTTTTTTTGCTATTACAAAAGTGTTTGCCTAACTGTAAACCTTAAAGCTTGCAGGCATTGTTTAAAAGGCTCGAAGCTTTAAGTGACAAAACGATGGGTCCACTTTGGGCCATGCTATGATGACATTTCGTCAATATATACTGAAACTGAGAAACAGACAGAGGCAAAGTATGGTAAGCTAGCTAGCGGACAGCGAAACAATTGGAGAGACAGAACATGGGATCAAGCCAACAGAAATGGTTTTCCCGTCACTGTCACTTTTTAAATCGAGAAACGTTTGGCTATTGTGTTGCTGTGAAATATTGTTGCGGCATGTCGCATTGGCGATTGATTCGCTGAGTGTTAAGCGGCCTTTCAGATTACTTCACTTGCGCTGGTTATGAAGCCAAAACAACACTTTTATTCAGGCCGTTTGTCTTTTGCTGGCAGCGTTGGGAGTAATGAATTACAAAAGTAGCAATTTACAAAAACATGAAGTTTCTCAGCAACAAAGTCATGCAACATGTTACATAAACCTACTGTGCGTGTAAAGACGTTTCATTAGGAATGTGTGCCGTACTTAATATCCCCATGGACTGGGGCAAAGCACCGCACTTCAGACGTACTGCAGCTGGTCATTTAGAATCCGCTTGCTCC